TTTAGATACTAATTTTTCGATTTTCTCGATTTTCGAAACAATATTTAATTCAGTAAATCTTATTACCGTTTATCATTAGTAATTAAAAGATAATTCCACTTTTCGCACTAAGGCAACTGATCAATTATCTGCATCTGTTACACAACATAAATTTCCTATTAATTTTCCCCTTGATGTTTGAAACAAATACGTTATGCCCACATACGTATATTACTACCAAAAAAAAAAAAATTAGCGTTAGTGTTATGTAAATGTAAGAACCCACGTGTTCTAAAAAAGGACTCTAAAGTAATACAATTTCTATGATTAATCAAATTGTTTTTTAATAATGTTATAGTACAACACAAAAACATATAAATATTGCTGAAACCTACCTTGGTTTCTTAAGAAACCATTTCTTCTCCTCCATTAGTTGTTGACCCAACTTGATAAATCATTGATTGATTTTTCTCGTTCTTTTTTAACTAAAAATACTTTTTCCGCGGGATATTTTGCCTGGTGCAAATTTTCACGTAGGTTTGTAGCATAAAAGAAAAAATAATTCAAACTTTTTTATAATCACTATTTACACGAAGCTTTGTATATAGGATATTACTTGAATTATATCCCTCAGAAAAAGATTACAAAAAAAAAATATATTTATATAAATTAATAATAGAAATGATGGAATTCAAAATCAGATTTATCACCCTGTTTATTTCCGTATTATGGTTATTTGCGGCTTCGACCCATGCCGCCGTCAATGGAGCTACTTGCCAGGGTTCTAAACTACAACCCGGTGACGGGACTCAAAATCCAAATGGTGCTTGTTTCCAAACACAAATGGGCGAGACTCCTGCAAAAGGGAAAATGGTCTCCACTGTGATTACAAATCCACAAAATGGTCAAACTCTTGGTGCAAATCAAGCATTTACTGTCACAGCAAGAGTATCCAATCTCAATACCGGCTTTTTCTCTGATCCAGCTAAAGCATATTATACAAAGTCACAATCCCTCGGTAATAATGGTCAAATTAATGGTCATAGTCATATTACCATCCAACAGCTGAATGGTAATAATCCTCCTGATCCGAACGTGTTTGCCTTTTTCAAAGGATTGAATGATCCTGCTAATGGTCAAGGAGATTTATCTGTTGCTGTCGCGAATGGCTTGCCACCGGGTAATTATAGAATTTGTACTATGGCTAGTTCGGAAAGTCATCAACCTGTTCTTATGCCTGTTGCTCAGCGTGGTGCTCAAGATGATTGTATCAGAATTACTGTTGCCAATAATGGAAAAGGCAATAACAATAACAATAACAATAACAATAATGGAAAAGGCAATAACAATAACAATAATCAAGGCAAAGGCAATAACAATAACAATAATCAAGGAAAAGGCAATAACAATGATAAACGGTAATAAGATTTACTGAATTAAATATTGTTTCGAAAATCGAGAAAATCGAAAAATTAGTATCTAAA